GCTGTTTGTCACAGCCGTCCTCCAGGGGCGCTGAGCTTCCCAGCCTGTGTGGTGCTGTCCTGCAGCTGCCAGACCAAGTACTCAGAGTGCATCGACTCGGGGTCCAGTGTCGGAGCAGCACCTCATCAGGGTGAGCGACAACTCCGCCACGCACTGGGCCTATGAAAGGAATCGACTTTTGGGGAGCAACAGAAGATGAGGGTGACCTACGTACAGCCCACATTCACATGCACGTGACATGGCGAGGGACCCCTTGCCGTGCATCCACCTTGAAATAGTCCCGGGCTTTGATCACGCCGCTCCTGGAGCCCATGCCATGTTGTGAAGCGGCCCCAAAAGTCCTCTTCTGTGAATGTCTTTAGCAGATTTGACCACGACTGTGATGAATGCGGCCTTGGCCTGTGTATCCTCAGACAAGCGCTCCTTGAATGCCACCCGCGGAGTGGCGGCTCCCAGAGTGTTCCGCCGTGTCCTCGCCCACCTTGTCACCAGAGCTGGCCCCGTGTGACTTCCGGCTCTGCCTCTCGGTCAAAGTGACCAAGCAAGGGAAAGCCTTTGAATCAGCTCAGGACATGGAGGCAGCCAGGACAGTGCCACTGAATGATGTCAGGAAAGGGGACTCCATAGCTGCTTCAGGAAGTGAGAAGTGCGGCAGGATAGGTGTTTTAGAAGCAAAAGAGAAGATTTTGAAGGAAAGTAATGGCAAGGTGCCTGTAATTTATTAAATGTAAACATTTACCATCTTTTTGATCACCCATGGTAGAGGTAGCCCATCAATGATGCCCTCAAGTAATACCCTGCGACCTCTAACCAGGGCCCGTGTTGGAGCCACCTGTCCCAGGCCCTGGGCTTCCCACCACCACCCTCTCTGGTCCCCCACCCCTGCCTGGTCAGCTGCCTGGTCCTGGCATGGTGGCTCTGAGGCCCAGCCTGGCCCCTGAGTTCTCCCTGCACAAGCATGCTTGGTGGGAGTCCTGGGCCCCGGGCTCAAGGTGACGGCAGTCCTGGCCTAGCTGTCCAGAGAGGTGGCCTCCACTTCTCTCTGTCACCACACGGTCTGTGGACCTCGGCCTCCTGGTTTGTGCAAGGGAGTCCTCAGAGAGTCACATTACTGTCGCCCGGTACTCAGGTCCACGCCTGCTCTCTATTAAAATTATTACTAGTGTCATAGGAGTACCTGTCCTCTTCAGCTATACATAGAGAAGTGATTTATTCAATGCCTCTCTCTATAGAAGACAAGGCCATTGCTAAAAAGGATTTGTGACCTTCCCCATGTTAATTCTTACGACACAAGACAGTATATTTGTTTTTCATCATGTACTTTTGTTTGAAAAACCCCCACAGTGTTCTTTTAAATCAATCTTTTTGTCTCTCTTATAGATCTCAGCAACCACAAACCATCTAACTTTACCAACATCCCTTTTAAGGAAACTTCCAGCAACACAATGGGCAGGATCTTAGAGCCAATTACTCCTCTCAGCTTCCAAGCCAGCTTGCATTTTCATAATGTCTAAATCTTTTCAAATTTTTCCAGAGACAGAGAGCTCGGTGCTTCTGTAGCGGGTCCACTCTGTTCCAGCTGGTGACACACACCCGTGCTTGCCAGCTTGGCCTTGGTCTCGTCTTTCTCTTATCGTTACCTCGTCCCACAGCAGCTGCCTGAGGTAGAGAAGCGGACCCCGAGGTGCCGCACCGTGTCCCCTGGGGATGGTCTCTCCTTAGCAACTTCACTGTTCTCCACACGCAGCTTTAGGAGCTTTGCCAAGCTGGAATTTTACTTTTCACATAATCTTCTTAAGATTAGCAAATCTTCTTGCTTCCAGACAAATCTTTTCCGGTTTACTCTGGAACAGTTCAGCAGGGTGTGCGCTGAAGCTCCGTAGCCCTTATCACAGGGATGCCTACATAGATAGTTGACAAAGCCTCGGTTATACAAGGCTTGTTTCTCAGCCTCGGTCTCTTAAGTGACAAACATTTCTCACCTGAACTTTGCATTTTGTTTCAGTTCAAAGGGTTTCTCCCACTGTTTGCTGATGTCATAGGCCCAAACTGAAACTGTTAGAAGAACTTATATAATGTAACCCTCAAATGAGAGCGCTTGGTTGACTGGGTTTTCAGAAGTCCAGGGCGTCAGTCAGAAAGGGAAAGGTGAGGAGCCGTACCTGGGCCACTACCGCAGCCTGTGCAAGGTCAGAATAATTCCCCTGGGAAGAAGTAGCTGCTCTTCGCCGGGACTTCTACCCAGTGTTTAGGGAAACAGGTCCCATCACATCCTAGTTTTTTAGTAAAAATTCTGCACAAGAAATGGAACTGTGCCGAGCAAAGCATGCCACCCTCACAGCCTGAGAGAGGACAGGTCTGTCTTGGCTCACTTTTCAGAGGGGTCAGTCCATGGGCACCTGAATCCAAGACAGACGCAGCGTAAGGAGGGCGTGGGGGAGGACGCTGCTCACCCCATGCCAGCCAGGAGGCAGCAAGTGAAGGGAGCAGCTGGGGCAAGGGTACGCCTCCTGGTGACCACCACTTCCCCCTTTTTCCAGCCGCCTCACAGCACATTCAGCCCGGAACTCATCTGGGGGCAAATCCACTTCTGAGCACAGAGCCCCAGGACCCAATCACCTTCAGTGCATGTGAGCCTGTGAGAGACAGTGTCGGCCTAAAACATGACAAGGGCTGAAGCAGAGTGAGAACAGACCTGTCCGACAGTGCCATGCAATGAGGAGAGACAGAAGAGTGGATGGGTTTGCTGAGACTCCAGCATGTGACAGCCCAGGGAGAGAAGAAAACATTTCTGATGTGTTCAAGGCCCAGGGTGTGACTTGGTGTCCATTTTAGCTTCAGGAATAACACAAATAGAGGAGCAGGGGTGGGGACACAGTGTGCAGCCTTCTGAACTATCTAAGACAGATAGTACCAGGTGGAAAGCCACAGAGACATGGGCTTTCCCGATGTCCGCACTCTCCTGGAGGACCCTCCTCCTCTCCCACGCCCAGCTGCCTCCGGCCCCTAACGAGGGCAGGGCAAGCCAGGCGTCTCCAGGGTGTGCAAAGCTCCCTCAGCGCAGCGCTCAGCTCAGGCCTAGCGCTGTGGCGCCTTTCCCACTGTGCGGCCGTCCACTGGAGCTTCTGAAGGCATCTTCAGCACAGAGCTCAGCCAGGGCAGCTAAGGGGAGCCTTTCCTTTTAGGTCTTCTCCCTGCTGCTTCCAGCCTCCTCCCGAGGGCTGGGCTGGGGCACCCCAGAACTACACGTGCTCCACACAGCACACATAGGCCACCCCTCTTCTAGGCCAAATACAGGAGTTGTTAGCCTCTCCTCAGCGACTGTAGCCTTTTATTCTGAAGCAGTTTCTCAGTGAGCACTTGTAGTGAGGACAACCTAGAAGACCTGTAAGGACAGCTATGCCTGGCTTTGGGCATCGGTGACTTGGTGACGGAAGTCGTGTTGGCTATCCAGGAGCGCGTCTGAACTTCACATTTATACCGTTACATGGCTGGGGGGAGGGGGACCTGGACCAAAGAACAAACCTTCATTTTGATGAAAACAACAAAAAGTTAACACAAATGTAATACAATCCTCCACACAGCAATAGATTTTGATGAAGACACACAATTCCATATGCTCAGCAGGTCCATCCAGAACTCCTTTGCAATTTCATAAATTCTTTGAAAAAGTTTTAGACTAGACACCCAAGACCTGTTAACAGTGTGGGCTTTAGGGCTGGACTCAGAGGCGTAAGTGCCTACCTAGCAAGTGCAAGGTCCCAAGTTTGATCCCCTGTACAGAAAAAAAGAAAAAGAAAGAGAAAGAGAGAAAGAGAGAGAGAAAGAGAGAAAGAGAGAAAGAGAGAGAGAAAGAGAGAAAGAGAGAAAGAGAGAGAGAGAGAGAGAAAGAAAGAAAGAAAGAAAGAAAGAAAGAAAGAAAGAAAGAAAGAAAGAAAGAAAGAAAAGAGCACAGCCTTTTCAGTTCTACAAATCACGATGTCATGGATTTAAATTCGGGCACCGTGTCACTCATTCATAATACTTTTCTTCTAAGCAAATGTTGAGAACTGCACGGGGAAATGCTTGATCCCAGCTTAAAGAACTAAGTCTGATCCAGACTTTGCGGGCGTGACTGTGCAAGTGCTCTGGTGTCCAGGGCCCCCAGGCCCAGTTACAGAGGCACGTTGGGGGTGGGCCCGAGGGGCAGTGGGCCCCAGGGGCAGCGGACCCGGGTAGTGTTGGCCCCAGAAGCCAAAGCGTTGGCCACAAGGCTCCTAGAAGCAGCGGGGCCGTGCTGCAGCGCTGCTCCCGCTGGCTATTTGTCCTGCGTGTCCCTGCACCTTGCAGCCCCTGTGCTGGCCCCTGCCTATGACCCCCAACAAGGGTTGCACAAGTCCTGAACAATCAATCCACCTCCCAGGCAGGGGCTGGGTGCGGGGCTGCTCTGCACACCGCAGTGCAGTACGTTGTGACTGAGCTCTGCCGAGTACTTCCGGGCTTCGGGGGAGATTTCTGAGGCCTTGCACATGAACCATAAATGTGAAAACCCTTTTCTTGCTTCTTCTGTGGCGAGGCCAACTCGGGTCCCGTTCGAAAGGCTCTGGCGCCATCTCGTGTCCGTATTGTGTCACTACAGCTTTTGGACTGCACACTGCAGACAATATCTATGGCAGAATCAGGATGACTTCTACTTTTTGCATGGCTGGTTTGGGAAACTTCTGGTCCTGCATAAGCCTGCTGATTTTTCCTATGAGTTCCACCGAATTAAACGCCACGATATCTCTTGTGTTCTGGTGAGGGAACAGGCAAACCCGCGTGGGCTGTCCCCACAGACAGGCATTGCCGATGGGTCGCTTGCAGCGCTGGGCATCAACGTGCTCAGCCCCGGGCAGGGTTGGCTTCCGGGCCCTGCAGACGCAGCTCTGTCCCCGGTGCAGCGTGTCCTTTATCAGAGGTAGAAGTGCTGTCATCTCTCCATAGATCTGATTCCTCTTTCTCTCTCGTGTTTTAAATTTCAGATTGTCTACAAAGCCTGGCTCTGTTCCCAGTATTTTGAAGTCACTCAGTTTAACTGCAGAAAGAAGATTCCTTGCAAGCAATACTGTTTGGAAGTGCAGACGAGGTGCCCGTTCATCCTGCCCGACAATGACGAGGTGATCTACGGTGGCCTCTCCAGCTTCATCTGCACAGGTAATGGGGCGGGACCAGACCAGCACAGAGCCGGTCTCCTGGGAGGTGCCCTGTGCTGACTTCCCACCCCTCACCCCAGTGCACTCCTCAATATTCAGCTGGTGATTTTCCACACATGCCCAAAGAGAGGCAGCAAAATCCCTGAGCTGATCTGAACACAGCTCTGTGCTGGTGTTAGCCCTGCTACCAAACACAGTCTGTTTGTAAGGGGGTCGACCTGTGGGCAAAGGTGGCTGTGGTTGACAGAGTCACACTTGGCACAGAGGAGACGAGGCTGCCTGTGTGGTCGTTCACTGCTCTATGTGCTCTATGCCTGATCAGCCAGTGAGATCGTGCCTGCTGCTGTAGATTAGGGACAAGTTTGTGTCCCTGAATCTGTGTTCCCAGAAGGCTCTGTGATCCTTAAAAAACATCCAAATCCCAGAGGAATGTTTGCCTGGGTTATTGTGTGTGGAGGGGAGGTGTAGGAGCTCAGGTACCGAACAGTAAGTCAGATCCAATCTGATCTTCCATTTTCCAGCAGCGGTGTTTCCTTTCCACCAAGCACCAGCTTGGGCCCAATAGGAGTGAAAGCCTTACTTCCTGTACACATTAGTTAAGCAAGGGGAAGCTGTACAGAAAACCGAGTCAGTTTCTGAAGATAAATGCAGGGAGGAAGGGCAGGTCCCTCATCACAGCAGTGAGGTGCTTGCAGGTTTCTCTGTGTTAGGATGAAAACCAAATTCCGCCAAAGCCGTAACCCTACGGATGCAGTCACAGCATGAATGTTTTTCAACGTGTAAAGCTGACACACTGGGCCAGGTGTGAAGACCCAGGAGAACTCTCGCTGCATGAGACTTTACCAAACTCCTCGGAAACAGTGATGAGTTTGGGTATTCAACATGAGAATTCATCAAATTCTCTCTGGATCACTGATCCAACCCTTCACTGTTCCAAAGCAATAAGTCAACTAAGAGACGCCCCGGCGGGACACAGTGGTGCACACTGGCACTCAGGGCTCTGGGAGGCTGAGGCGGGGTGATTGCAAGGTTGAGGCGGCCTGGGCAACTCAGCAACTATGTCAGAATTAAATTAAAAAGAGACGAGACATGCAGCTCAGTGCTGTCCCCAGAGGGCTCCGGGTTGGGAGGCGCTGGGGGCCTGAGCAAGGCCGTCACAGGACAGCGGTGCCCTGTGGGTGTGTAGAGCTGGGCTGCAGTCCTTTGGGGTGGGTGCTGGAGTCTCTGTCCACGTAGTGCCTCTCTGCAGGAGAGACAAGGGGAAGGATGGCAAGAAAGGGAGAGGCTGCAGAGGTTGCGAATGTTTTCCTGAGCTCCAGAGTGAGCGATGCGCCCTCTGACATGCTCGAAGCACCTTCCCTGCCTGCACTCCCAGGCCTCCCTCTCCCACTGAGGCCTGCTGGCCACAGTCCGCCCTCAGCCCTTGCACGATCCGAGGGCCCACACACGAGCGTGCTCTGCATGGACCTGGGGCCTTCGCACGCAGCCGCACCCCCAGCTTCTTTCTTAACACTAGAATCGGGTCTCCTGAGTCGGTGACCACCAGCTGCTCCTGGATGCCCCATCCTCCTGCCCGAGCCCCGGGACTCTCTCCTCTGTCGCTTCCTTCTGTGGCCCTGGAGCCCCTTCGGGGCATGTCTCCAGACGCTGTCAAGGCCTGGAAACCGAGGACAGGATGAAGCCTCCTTCCTGCGAGGCTGGAACTGGAGCCCACAGCAGGGCGTGTGCACGCGCAGGGCCTTGCCCCCTGGTGGCGGCGCCTCGGTATTACAGGTGCTCGGCGGCCCCTGCGGGTGGGGCCCGAGGACCCCAAAAAGTCTGAAAAGAGTACTTCTGTCTCCTACTTCCCTCTTGAGAGAGTTCACAGCTGTGAAAGAAGCAGCACCGCCCCGGAATCCTCTGGTGACCTGTCCAGTTAGCTGAGGTTTTAAAAAGCCAGAAAAGATGTCCTCTTTCAAGTACCCTGGTACAAAACACTATTTCCCACTGATTTTAAATATAATTTTAAGGTCATTTCCCATGCTATTGTTCATCGTATGTCCCGCTCTGTCCCAGTGTGCGTAATGTTCAAATATTCAAAATAAAGCTTTAAAAATAATAAAATGCTGCTTGAGTTCCAGCATGAATAGATACAAAAAGAATCTCTTAAATTTGTCCATGTTCAGGGCAAAAGAGAAATGTGAGGGGGGTGCTGGGAGCAGAATCCAACAGCGCGAAGAGGAGACAGCTCACTGACAGTACGCACGATGGAGCGCGTACTAGGATTGCGTTTCCTTCCCGCAGCGCTGCGCTGGGCTCCGCGGCGCGGTCCTCCACTCTCTCGGCTGCCGTCCTACACTTTCACCCCCACGTCGCTTCCTAGGCTGTGCTCCAGAGACCGATGCAGGGAGGCGGTGGGGGCACTCCCGGGTGCCTGGGCAGGCCCCAGCGCAGTCCAAGCCGCCCCACTGCGAGGCCTCTAAGGCGCACAGCGGTGCAGGGCTAAGAGCCTGGCTCCAGCTGCAAGGGTCACGTGGGTGAGCTCCCTGCCTGCGGGAAATCCCACTAGGGTTCCGCTTGTCCTGCTCTGCACCACCCTGTCCTGCCTTCCCGGAAGTAAGTCAAGTGGATGGGACCAGGCTTGAGGGAGCTTACCCGAGGTCCCTGTGCACCCGGGCAGAGCTTGTCCCTAGCCATATTCGGGCTCTAGAAAGCAGCCTTGAGCCTGAGGCCTTGGGGACAGCAAACCTGAGCAGAGAAGACGTCCTGGGTTTTGGATGTCTCCTAGGGGAGATGGTGGGGATATCAGCCCACTGTGGGCCCCCCCCCCCTTGCATCGAGGTGATGGCACTACACTGCGTCGGCTGTGTCCAATCTGTCTGAGCTCTGGGGACTAGAAGCCAGCACCGTGAGGCTGGGCCATGCAGTGTGCCCAAGGGGCAGCAGGCATGGGGTGCACGGCCCGGGCCAGCTGGGCGGAGCACGTGGAGCTCGCCCTGGAGCTCGAGGCTGAGGACACACATCCTCAAGCAGTGACCCTCCAATGCTGCGAGAGACGCAGCCCTCTGAGCAGGGAGACCAGGGCAGTTCTTATGCAGGGTTTCAGCTGAGGGGGGATACTTTAGACAAAGAGAGTCCCAGGACAGGAGAATCTTCAGGAAAGACTCTCCCGGCAGTAACAGACGACCTCTCTGTACGAGTGGAGCCTCCTGGGTAGCTGCTGGGTGCGCTGAGCTGTGCTGAACAGAGCCGTCCTCTCACAAGACCACAGAGTCGTGGGTGACATCACCACCTGCACTTCCCAGGCCACGAGCCCGAGTGTGCGTTGAAGCCATCCTGCTGTCTAGGAAACGGGAAGAGCCCAGCACCGCCTGCCCCCTACTCCAACCTTAGCTCCGGAGGGAACCCGGAGATGGCCAGTAGGCCATCCTGCAGTGGGTCTGGGACGATGTTTCCTTCTGCAGGGCAGTCAGTCCACAGGCCCAGCAGAGTCTCTGCAGAGCAGGCTACAGTGGCTCACGGGCACATCCTGCGCCATTCTCACCAGCACACGCTGCCTGGAAAGTGAGTGCTGCCAGGCCTGCCAGCCATGTCTGGTGAAGTGAAGAGGAGAGGCCTCCCTTGGGGACCATTCCCTGCGAGGCTTTGTGCTTGGAAGGCAGACGTCAGGTAGTGGGTGAGGGAGGCCTGCAGGCTGCGCGTGCGCACACACACACACACACACACACACACACACACACATGTAGGGAAAAGACAGAAAGCTAAGTTTCTCAGATATTTGCCTAAATACTGTTATCACTCTAAATGACCTTAGTCTAGGGCCAGCGAGATAGCTCAGTGGACTAAGTACCAGCCTAGGCAAGTGCAGGGACCAGGCATGGGGACACTCCTCCTCCTCAGTGCAGGTCCTTGTGGCCACCCATGTCTCCCCTCACTACCAGAGTGCAAAAGCTCTCTCTAGGTGCCACTCCACATGGTTGCCACGACTTAGTCCTTTTTGGTGAAGGAGAGCTGGGGCAGCCCGGAGTCGCCTGCAGTTAGTTGGGTGCAAACACTGCGAGGGAAACCGTGATTAGTTCCCGCCACACAGGAAATAGCCTTGCTGGGACTCACATGCACCTTCCCGGGTAGGGAAGACCCATTTAGGGAGCCAAGTCCAGTCTGAGCTGGGAAGAGCACAGGCCCCCAGCTGGTTGCTTTCTTCTGAGATCTGTGATAGCTGTGCGGAGGTGGACAGGAGCTACTCTTCAAACCAAAACTGTCCATCTCAGAGGCCAGCTTTCCTGCACCAGGCGCAGAGTCCCAGGAGCTCTGAGCTGGCTTCCCTCTCTCAGCACAAGGGCTGTCAGCGGTGGGTCGGCCCTTCCCTGCCTGAACATCTGTGCTTTCTGCAGAGCTGCCAGAGCTGCGCAGCGAGGCCCCATCGCAAGAAACCAAACACAAAGAAACAAACACAGAAACCTTAAATAAATTAGTTTTGGGGCTGCTCTGACACATGCACTGCACAGAATTCTAAATGTGCAAAAAGTGGGAATGAAAGCAACTGCCTTCCCAAGGGGCGTTGTGGGCGGCGGTGTCGTGGCTACTTTTCTCTTGCTGCTGGGACAAAACGTCTAATGCCCTGAATTGAGGAAGGAGAGGTTTACTTTGCTCACAGTTTGTGCAGGTCACAGTCTATACAGAGTGACACATGGCAGAGGGCAGCAGTTCATGGTGGCAGAAAACAGCAAAACAACAAGCACAGAAGGGAGGAGCCACAGCAGAGAGCAGGCCTGTCTCCCTCGCACTGCATTCAGCTGCCGCATCAGGGGAGATGCGGCGCCTGCACCCAGGACCAGCAGCGCTTCTCCCGTGAGCCCAGCCCCGGGGGTGAATTAATCCCAAGCTCTGAAAGCCCACCCTGCCTCACAGCCACAGAGGCCACTTCAACACTTGGCTTCCTTTACCCTGCTCTGTGAGGGCTTGCTTTCTCGCTGCTCCGTCGACCACACCTGAAATTCCTACAGGCCGAATGCTGCTCTG